CCCCTCTTTTTTCTAGCGATAAAGGATTGGAAAGTGGCTAGGATCATCCCAAAATTGTAAAGTCTCTAGCCTGCACAGAGAGAGGGAAATTTATAAAATAAGTTACTAAAACAATTTAAATAGGTCAGAATATGACTCAGTTCCCTGCACAGTGACTCACATGAAATAATAAATTTTAAACAAGTGCATAGTAGATTTATTTGGGATAATATTCCACTTTCTGAATAAAATGAATGTTTACCATTTGTATTGTAGTTGTTCTTCAGTATCATTTGTTACACTCAGAGGGAAAATATACATCAGAAAGCCAGTGCAAAAATACCATGATATGGCTTGAATGCATGTTTCGCAATAGTATTTATTTTATGGAATTTCCTATGTGCTTTTTGTGGAGGTACTATTGCAAGATTATAGCAGAGGCCAAGATCCTGACATCTTGATCCCAGTCCTATCTCTGTTATAAGGCTTGTTCTCGCTGCATCCAATGACAGAGGACTGCAGGAATTTTGCTGGGCCGAGAGCACAGGCCCTTTGGCTGTTCAGTGCACTTTTCAAAAGTAATTCAGATCTCAGATGAATCCACAGGTACTCAGCCTGAAAAGGTCATGCTGGCTCTCAGTCATTCCATTTAAGTACTTAATTTTAAGTAAGATAAATCTCAGTGAGAATGAATCCTGTGATTTAGAATGAAATTAGCATTATTGGCCACTGGAACAAAATATATCTGAATGTAATAGAAACATTCACAAAAATGACCAGTATTTCATCCAAGAGGTCTAGCTATGTAGTGTTCAGTATTTTCTTGCAATACTTGCATTGGTGTTATTTTTGATGACCGTTTTGTAGTAGTTGGTCATAATGGTACTTTTCACCTAAGAAGTAGATCCTCATTGCTTTAAAATTTACTCCTGCTTCAGGATTTCACATGCTCACTTTGAAAACCCTGTGATACTTCAGAATTTTACTCTATAAGAGCTGATAAAAGTCAGATTTGTTCAGGGTCTTAGTTCCACTTGTCTAGCATTGGATAACACAATGCAGTTACCAGTACTTTAATTTTACAGAGCTGATGAGCATCCACAACTTGTCTTAAAGTCAGCAGAACATGTAACGACTTGCACTTCTTATAACTGTGTTTTGGCCCAATGTGTTTCAGAGTGAGACGTGCAAAAGTTAAAGTACATAAAATTAGTAGCTATTTTGCAACTTTGATCTCTTCCTCATGTGTGAAACTCACAGTTAATAAAGAAATAAACTGAGGATATAGAATTCTGAAAAGAGAACTCTCAGCTCTGCTGCACACCATTTATTTTCCTATTAGTCTTTGAATATTGTTTATTTGACGTGTTGTATATATCCTTGCTGCCCCCTCCTTGGTATTTTAATTGGAACCTGGTTATTGGCTGGAAATTCCACTAGCATGACTCATCCCTGCACTGGAAATGACTGTGAACAGGCATCACATTGTGCAATTTACTTCCCCCTCTTGCCTTTTATTTTCTAAGTGCTTTATCGTGGCACGAGCTTGTAATAATAAACTAGGAAGGAAGCTGGAGCTAATCATTTGGTTCTGAATGCACAAGCCCTGCCAAATTTCCCCATGGGCATGAAACAGCCGCTCAAGCTGTGACACCAGCAAATTAAATCCTGGGGGTAGCTGACCAGAAGTAATGAAATGTGTATTTACCATACTGATGCTGTCAGTCCTAAGACACACTGGCTTTACAATCTAGTTAAGTGGGGCATGTTTGTCACTTCCAGTGGTGCTTAGAAAAAAATACTCTTTTTCTTCCCTTGCTTCTTTCTCAAAATCACAAGCCCAATACTGGCTGGTAACCCTCACCTCATACAGCATGAGGAACAGGATGCCCAGAATGGTCTGTTCTTTTAAAACTCTGCCAAAGCGAAATTCGTATCCCAAAGGAGATAAGTGTTCTCGTCTTATGACATATTAATTGCCAACACTTTTTATTCATCCCTTATCTGCCACTTCATTCTACAAACCAATCCATAGAGCTGAAATGAAAGGTTAAAAATTATTTCAGGAGCCAATGGATAATAAACAACAGATCTTCCCACGAACCATGTGTCACATGCGTACAGCATTTTAAAGCCTGGGCACATACTGGTGTGTGGAAGAGGGCCACATAATTGCTGAAAAGAATAGGTACCACTAGAGAGAGGGATGCATTATGCAAGTGGGTGCAGGCATGCGATGGATGAGCCACACAGCTACTAAAGAGATGTCACTCAAAAAACACCCGTGTGTCATGGCAGCAGTGGTTCAAAAGCATCTGCACCCAGGCACAGGAAGGAGGGAGGCTGTCATTTCGCAATCCCCACATGCCGAGGAAATAAAGGGCTCAAAGAAAGTTATTTTCACCAGTTAGGCATTTCATAGGTATCGATAGCATATGTCTGAGAGGTTTCTGTGTATTTTGCTAACAGAGACCTATTATGCTAATTGTGAGAGAACTATTAAAGAAGGTTAGTGGATCATTTGCTGCAGGGTGCTTCCAAGAAAACAGTGCAAGGGGAAAAATGAAAGTACAGTTTTCAGCATGGTTGAGGCAATACCAGTGGATGAATCAAAGAATAAAATCACACCCCATGTGAGCAGTTTCTGAAAGCTTCTAATTATATCCTAGGAATGTCCATAACTCTGCAATTATATGCTTAATTTCCAGCTGTACTTCATTAACATCACAAATGATTTATAATACCACAAAACACAAGGAACTTGCTTTGAACTATTTGTTGGCACATAACAATTTGTTGGGCTTTTTTGTCTGCCTCTTCATAGCAAGGTAGGCACATTGAGTTTGTACCATGATATTGAGTGACAAAACCAAGGGAAGGCTAGAGTAATTTCAGAGGTAACATCATTCTCTTTACTCTAGCAAAGCATTCAATTTCAAGTGGAAAGGTCAAAAACCCACTGATTTTTATGGCATTATACATGCATTGCAAGCTTAGTATGTAGATTTAACCTTGCTGAATCAGGTCTGTCTTTCCTTGGTTGGTCTTGGAAGACAACCCTACTTTCTATGATCGACTAGCACACTTACTTCTGGAAACCCAGTCCAAAGGGCCCTTTCTTCTCCTGTTTTCCCATGACAGGAGAGCTGAAGTAGGAGTCATTCTGTATTTTCTTAGTGTGAGGAAGAAGAAGGATAAGAGAACCTCTACTTGGTTTTGACCAGCTCTCAGTATAATCCTCAGTTAAAGATTTGAATCTGTGCCAATCCAAATGCCGGATCAGGATTTAAGGCAAAATATAAACACTTGAAATGTGGTATTTTGATCTACTCAAGGGTAAGCCTCTTGAATTCAGCTGAGGCTAAGGAAAACACATGGAAGCTTTTGCATAATTGTAGTCCTACAGTGTAAACCTTTTGGAGAAATTTCTCTGCCATCTGTGAAAAATTACTCAGACTTTCACACCAAAATATTCATCCATTGGTAACATTGGCTTACATTGTTTTAGCAACTTAAAAGTAATTTTTCTAAAAGATTAATCAACGCAAACCTCAAATCCACAGATGAAGTTGCACTGCCTCTGTTTTTAGTCTTAGGCTTGAAGCTGTCTAGACTGGTTATCCTATTTGGGCTTGACTTATTATATGCTTCTCACTTTGCTCTCCTGTTGAGTCAGACGAGTGGGTTTGCTTAGGTCCTTTCTTCTCAAGCCTATAGTTTTGCCTATAGGGTGATATGACATGGACACTGTGAAATCTCAGAGCCAAATCATGAAAGCATAAATATATGTAAAGACAATCTGCTGTTATTTAAAATCTTACAGTCCTAGAACCAATTCTTTGTTCCTAGGGTGGCTTTTTTTTGGTTTTATTTTCTTGTATGCCAGGAGTTGGCGGCAACACCGTATGTATGAATTCCAAATAGGGAGCCTGGCTCCTGCAGCATAAATCCAAAAAAGATTATTCTCATGGAAGAGTCCCCACTAAACAAAACTACAAAAAGATAGGTGGTAGCCAAGCTGCTAGAATTAATCTCTGAAGGAGGTGTCTAGCTCTTTGCTACAGAAACATCTTGACTGAATAAGTTGCAAACTAGCCATGGCTGCCCACCCTGCCCTCCAAATAGAACTCGCAGCCTGTGAGATATAAAGGAGAAAAAGATACCTAGAGTTAGGAATTGAAATTATCAGATATTACAGTTTTCCCTGGGGGTAAAAAAATTCTAAGCATCGGTGTGGCTTAATAAATGAAAAGGAAACTCTTAATGTAAGCTTGAACTTTGGAATTCCTGTAGAGAAGTTGCTTCTTGCTGACAGCTGGTTTGCAATTAATAAAAGAAAGTGTTTTCAGCTGGCAATGAGTTAACATGCTCATGATAAATAAAAACAAGGTTAAATTACTCCTTTCTCTCTGCTGCTAATAAATATTGAAAATGAAATGGTGTAGCTTAGGAAGTTAAAAGTGCCAACCAAAGCCATAGACATAGTGCTGAGAGCTGCTTATCACCTGGTACTTGCTGGAACGGGCATATTTGGAATAGCTTAGTCAGTGCCAAAAATTATTCTCCAGTTGGAGGCTTTCAGAATATATTGCACTGAAGAACATATGATCCTCTTTCTGCAAGATAAAGGAGTCTTGATTTAATCATCTCTTTGGGGGGACTTAACGCTTTGTGAATTTATTGAAAATCCTCCTGCCCCGATACCCTTTTTAATCTTATCCTTCTACTGCTCTCCTGCACCTTCTGTTGGGAAAGAATGGTAGAGACTTTGTTCCTGGAGATGTAAGGGATGGAGTAGCCAGAGCATCAGGGAGCACACGGTGGGAAAAAGCCTCTGCTGCAGAGAGGCTGGCCTGATAATCAGATGCCTGTGAACTTTTGCTGACAGTGAATTGTGTTCTGAAATAATTGCTATGGTTTGATGTTAACTCTCTTGCAGAACGTGAAATATGACTTTCTCATGTAAAAGTGAAATAATAGATTTTACTTTAGCAAAGTCTTAATTCTTGTCTTGTAGAATGCAGAACCTTTCCAAGTTACTGTCCGAGAAGACAATTGTATCATTGTCTCCCTGGAAGCATCTGATGTGGTGAGCTCATCCTCTGTATATGTTGTGAAGATAGCTGGAGAATCCAAGAACTACTTTTTCCAGTTCGAAGAATTCAATAGCACTTTACCTGCCCCTGTGGTTTTTAATGCCAAATACCATGGCCTATATTACATAGTAACTCTGTTGGTAGTGAACTCAAATATGGTTTCCAAGTCAGCAAGATCAATCACTGTGTTAACCAGTAAGTAACACCTTATTCTTTCTTTCAACTGTTTTTTCTCTTTGTGTGTGTTTTTTCTTCCCCAGAAATTCTTCATGTGGAGAGGATTGGGTAGATTTTTGTTTGTTTGTTTTCAATAGGTCCTCTCTGTGTGTGGGATGAATCCCTTTGTGAGAACAGTAGGGAAGATGTGTTGAGAAGGCTTGCGAGTGCAAATTCACAAGGTCTGGGCAAGAAGAAAGGGACAGTTGTGTGTTCCCCCTGGCTGACCCTTCCTCGATACTGACTGGGGAGGCTTAACATACTGAAATAATTCTGATGGATGAACTTCCTTTCCAGATGTTCATCCTAAACTCTTTGAACCAGCAGTTCCAAAAATCTAGTAAAAGGCATCAAAAGTGTTGACTGACATTTCAGTGTAAGCATTCCTCTTACATGGTGCGGTATAATCTGTTTTAAATGCTATAACAATGTTGGGCTTTATTCCTAATATATTGAAACAGTACTAAACTGGGAAGTAGATAGCAGTCATCAAAACCAGGTGTTTCAGTACAGCTGAAGGTTTTGTGATGGAGACCCTAATTATAGTCTATCTGCTACTACCTCCAGGTGCATTGATCCTGGGGGAGAGGTGTGATTTTGTTTGCTCTGTCATCGTGCAAATCACCACAGATTTCTGTGTGATTCCTGCCATATCTTCATCTCTGCTGTTGCTCCAGAACTGTTTCTGTGTGCCAACCTGAAAACAATTTATAGAACACATAATAATTTCTTCATCTGGAAGACAGATTCAAGGAAAGACAGACAGAAAATTTGGATGCAGCAAAACCAATCTCAAGATTTATTTGTTTTTTCCTGAATGGCACGCTGGAATCTACGAACAGTTCTAGTTGGCTTGCAGAGGAGGAATGGTTATGATTTTGTGTACTTATTCTGACAATGAGGAAATGCCATCCACTGTACTAACATTCAAAACACATTTACAGTCATCTATACATTCTTCAGCCTTCCGTTGTGCGCTCAAGCTGTGCCCTGATGAAGACAACCGTGAATGTTCCCGTGGGAGAACTATCATGTTATTGGGTAATGCAAATCTTTCATGAGGCATTTGTGCAAGGACATCTAGGAGTGGTGAACAATACAAAGGTTCATAGGCAGCCTGAATTTTCTTTTCTTTTACTATCTTAACCTTGCAGACAAAGCAGCAGTTCTAATCCAATTTCCTATTTCATGGATTGTTTGTTTTCTTAAAAGAAAATAATGGAAGCATCTGGTGTTATACATAACTGAAAAAAACCCACCTCACTACGCTTTTCCAGTGGGCTTTGAATGCTGTGCTTGCAGTTGTGCACCAGGGCTCATTGTTGTTCGGTTTCCAGAGCCCACGAGGGTCACTGGCAGTGAGGGAAGGTGTGATGCAGGATGGCAGATGGAGCACACACACTCCTGCGCAGGGGGTCTCCAAAGGAAGAAGAGCACAAGTGTTGCTCAGCCCATCAAAGCCAGCCTCACACATCCCATTTCTGCCTCAGGGGGTTTCCACAAGGTGTTCCCAAAAGAGCATGAGGCTAACTGCCCCAAGGGGCATTTTCACCACCTGTCTAATGCGAGTGCACTGGCAGCATCTCAGGGTCTGAGCTGTGCTGAGCACTACAGCTGTGGTGTGACTTGTGAGCTTCTCAAGGAACAAGGGCCACTCTCCTTCCTGGTGTTTTCTGTCGGCCAGACTGATGAGTGCTAGCTCTCGTGTACAGCAGCCTCAGCTACTAACATAGGTCATCTTTTGGAGAACAAGGCTGCAGGAATGAATGAAAAGACAGTGTGGCAGCTGGGCATTTTAGGCTGTATTACCATATAGGTCTGTTGAGATCTTAAAACTCAGGTAGTGGCCGCTGGCTTCCCCTAAAAATCTGGTGATAGTTACTCTTCCTTTTTTTTTTCACTTTTCTTTATATTGATATTGTCCACTACCTGTTTTACAAATTTTTCTGACTATTAATTGACTTGATTTTTTTTGGCAGACAGTAATTAAAACAAATTCATATTTTTCTTTATGCCATATGCTCTCTCTGCCTGTTTGACATTCTTAGTTTATTTTAACCGTGCAGATGTTTAACTATCTTATTTATTCTACCTATATCTTACATGTGAAAAAATGGTACATTGCAACTAGCTTCCAGGACCAAATTAATACCTGTTCTAATTTCATTGGTATCAGGAGAGGCAGATTGGCCCCATTCATTAGGCTGCCACAAGATAAATCAAGCGGGACGGCCAGTGATGCCAATATGGTTATTCCCAAGGCTGTACTTTGATATTTCACAATAGTTTTCTGGTAACTCCTGATGCCTGCAAAGGAGTCCGTGCAGGGATAGGCAGGCAGTCTTTCAGCCTGGCCATATGCTGAAGATCTGAGTTTCATACAGAGCAGCGTGTATCCAAATTGTGCATGTCAAGATGAAAGCAAGGTCATTGAAAGAGACTGCCTACTTAGAAATTCAGTGAGAGTCATGAAAGACCTCTGCTTTGCAAAGGTATATCTTGATGACATTTCCTTTCTCCTGTTCACATCCTTCAGCAATGTGCTGCTTCTCGGCATGTTGGCAAGAAAAAGGGACATCTTTTTACACGTTGAAACTTCATCCCATTTAAGTCAGAGAAAAATTTTGATTTATCCTCAAAGGTTTCTGTCCAGAATAAAAAGATTCCTCAAGAGAAAGGTTGTTTAAAACTGAAAATATGTATTTTATGCATTATAATCATGCATCTATAATTATATATGTGTAAATATAAATATATAGAGATATATTTGTGCATAGATATTTGCACATAAAATATCTAGGCATTATAAAAATATACATATATGCATACGCATATGCTACTATTTGAGGCTTCAGTGGTTAGCTTGGGCCTTCTCTACAAGACTGAGCAATTTATTTGCTGCTTGTTTCTGATTGGAATCAGTTCAGGACCTTCTCATTCAATCAAAATACCACAAACTATAGAGTTTCCTTGTTTAGGTTCTGTAGTCCAGATTGCTGTAATGCAAAGTATGAACTATTTGTTGCAGTATTTTCTTCTCAGAGACCGAGGGTTTTCTCGGCTTGAGCATGGCACACATCCTTGCATTGCTTCCAGAGCTGGGACCTTAGAAGGATGAGCTGAATAGGATGCATTCAGCACTTAGGAAATCTATAAAATAGAACTTGAGCACAAAATAGGACTTTTTCTTCTGATTCTGTAGCAAAGCCATGTTCAGCAAATTGGGCTCAGTACTTCACTGCAGAACTAAAACTGAAACCCTAACTGTTTATTATTAACAATTCCTGTGATTATTTTCACAAGAATAGGTGTGTGAATCTTGCTCCCCTGGCCAGATTCCTGTGAGTGCAATTGTGTTGTGCCTATCAAAATGCCTCTTCTTCCACTTTTCAGTCCGGACAAGGTTAGAAGTTGTTCTGGGATCTAACAATTATTTCAAGCCTGCCTTCTTCCCCCCTTGGAATTTTTCAACAGGAGTGAAGTAACTCCAGAACTTATATAATTATTTTAGTCTTCTCCAGTGCTTTAAAGGAAGTTCCACCTTATTGCTAATTTGTTTTGAAGTAGTTTATGAGAAAAATAAAGAGCACGGATGTAAAATCAGTGACTGAAAGTCTCATTCATCCTCCATTGTCCTAGCTCGAAGCCCTGTTTTAATTTTCCTAGGGTGACTCATGCCCATATAGCCTTTTTTTCTCAAATGCACTGTCAATTTTTCTTTTTGTTGTGAAGGACAAAATGTTTGTACGTTTGAAGGAATGAGGAAAGCAGTACATTGCAAGGCTATTGTGTGCTGTAGGAAAAATGTATCTCTGCTGGGAATTGGAGAAAGCAGAGCTGCCTGACTTATTCTATCTTATGATTAGGAGTTTTGAGTGTTAAATGTCTCATTGTTTCAAAAACCAATGATTCCTTGCATAAATCACTGTAAAATATATTCCCTTTAGGGAGAGTTCTGCCTCTGTCTTCTACAAAAAAATACCCTTCTCAAGAGACCAATGGGCCTGCTGCCTGGGACTCTGATCTCTTCAGCTCTCAGAAAGTAATTGGCATTAGACCCAGTTAATGCTCAGTTGTCATCGTGCCAGATGCAGCAGGAAGTGATTCAGCAGCTTGAATCTTTTCCTCTGGCTCATTAATGGATCAGAGCTGTTGAAACAGAAGCTTGAGAAAGTTGGGGTTTTTTCCAATGAAATAAAACTTCATGGGTTTCTTTCTTAAAGGATGACATGGCACAACTTAAAGTCTGGTTATCCATTGCAGCCCTAATTTCAGCTCCATTTCAACCACCCACATGTAGTATTACATCTAGCCTACCACAGCAATCAATCATTACTACAAATGCTAAAATCAAATTGATTTGGTCTGGAATATGGTACTTATTTTCAATGTCCTTTTTTTTTTTCCTGAATTGCAAATGTTAATATGTTTGGCAGGAATTGAATGTGTTAATGGAGGATTTAGCATCCAGAATGTTCCAGGGCATTTGAGGAACGGGTTAGCTGCATCTATTATGCTATAGTGATGTTTGTATAATGTCAGCTATGCGCTAAATGCAAAATGCTTTTGAGTCCAGGAGAAACACAGAAGTTAAATTTTCCATAAACAGATATAGTGGGAAAACAGTTGCTATAGGAGCAGCAGGTTCTGAGACACTAAGAAAAAAGGCAAATTTAGGTCTTGATCCTGCAAGCTTTGTGTATGTGCACTTAATATAATCTGCAAGTCTAAAAATAAAGAGATTGTACATGAAGAAGTGCCTTAAACATGCTATTAGAGGGACACTGAAATACTCTCTCCTGTAATATGAATTCAGACATCACTGTAGTGCAGAGCATTTATAAGTTTTCTGAAGTATTATATTACACTTTATTTAGGCTGTTTCTTGAAATCTGTGAAAAGCTGTATCCTAAATACAGAAAGCTGTAAAATTAAAAGGACCAGACTGTTTATGCTCTGAATTACAAATATACATAGTGAAGAGTGACATTTTACATATTCTTTAAGTTTAATAACCCTAGGAGCAGTTAGTAAGTGAAAAATGGAACATGATTTTTATCTGCTGAGTGTCCTTTTAATTTCACAGTGTACAAATAGCTTTTGATGTGAAGATTTGGTGCCGAAGGAAGTAAGATAATTGGAGAATCTTTAAATTGCATTATATCACTCATGCTACTCTGTTAACATCAGCCGTGAGCAAGGAGAGGATAGTAAGCGGAAGATAACAAGAAAGAGACTCTGTGGTCATTACCACTTAATTCAATTATTGGTTAATTAAATCAAAGCATCAGGAGGAAAAATCATTTGGATAAAAAATGAATATAACTTCTATCCTTTATTTGATTCGTTGTAGAAAGGAATAAATGGGGTAATTTAATCACTGACATAAGAAAGTTTCAGTAATTCTTTCAGAGTAAAGAGACCTCAGATGTGAATGATATCGCAGGCCCAGGGCACACTCACTAACATGAAAGTTGTCTGTATGTAAGAGACTGTATGTAGAGATTGTAATTGACATTTAAACTACTATCGTGTGCTGTGTAAGCTGTGATATGAACCCTCTGGTCATGTGGAGGGACAGATCAACTATTTATTTCAGAATAAGCGATGGGAGAAGTCTCAGCAGAAATAAGAAAGTAGGCTTTGTTTCCCATGATATCCTTTACTCAGATTTATTTCTGGGCTGTCACAAATTGTCAGCAGAGTTTTTATGGATCTCGTAACCGAAGTGTCTGTTGTTATCCGTGAGATTGGGAGTTTCCCTTTATAAGTGGTTAACATAGAAATATGCTAATATTTACCTAAAACTAACAAAATGCCTTTTCCATGAGAAATAGTTTAATAATCCCACGCTACTGCATTGCCATGCTCTGACAAACTTCAAAATGGCAGCACGACTTCTTAAGACTTGGGGAAAGATTCTGTTTGCATCTGTGGCTTTTGTACTTAGGTTTTTTTTCCTTCTCCACTTCTCATCACATCTGGAAACTTTATACTGTGGTGGAAATACTATGCTGGTAATTGGGATTTAATTTTTGCTCCCACTACACTCTTGCTTTTCCTTCCTTGATTAACCCATTCCACTGTCTCTGGGATCATTCCACACTTGAAACTGATACTGGTCTTCCCTTTCATCAGCTCTTTCTCGTGACCACTGCGACTGTATGCTCTTTTGTGAAAAATACTTTATTACTTTTTCTCCAGGGCCTACCACAGCAGAATTTTGAACTCAGATGTGTCCTCTAAGGCCATACTAATCAACAGCCTGGATTTTTCAATCTTTTCCCTGCAGTATACAGGAACTAAATCAACACTATAATACTTAAAAGGATGTAGGCATAATTACTGTGGGTGTTATGCATTAACTACCTCTATTAAAATACATTGGTATGACAAATTGCAACTAACCGTGTTTTGAATATCTGCTTGGCCCTTTTATCCAACGTATAGTTTGCTATAATCAATGTTTGCTATAATTATTTTCTGGCTAAGGATAGCACTGAACACAAGGGTAATATTTTTGTATGTGCATGGATAAAGAAGGCTAAATAAAACTGAGACTCTTATTGTTAGCAACAATGCATCTGCAGTGAGTTGACACAGCTTTCCATAGTTGATGGAGCTACACTAGTCTAATTGCTGCATCACAGGAAACAAGGTCTTTTTGTTTTACTTTTTGTAGCCAGGTGGCTCAGAGTTTGGAGCACTAGATCAGCAGTTCCTCACTTACTTTCTTTCTGTGCAGAGGCTTCCCCTGTGCCCTCTAGTAGACCACTTTACTTCTCTGGACCTCAGTTCTTTATCTGTGAAATAATGGTAATGGTACTGCTATATTGTGTAGAAGTTTCATGTGGTTGAATATGTTGAAGATGGTGGCCTTCTCAGATATAGTAGGAATGGGGACTATGTAATTAACCCATGAAATAAAAGTGATTAATACATATCAAAATAAAAAATCTTTATTCAGGTAGCTTGCTTTGGCTGTTACATGATAAGCTTCTCAGCTAATCTTAAAAGTTCACATTTGTGTCAAAGCTATGAACAATTTCAAGTGTTTTGGTGTTTTTGTCTGGGCACTTTTATGTGATTGGCAAACATAAAAGATAAAATTCTTTCCATGGTGATGACTGTGAATGCTTAAATAATAACTGCTATTTCAATGTGATTTTTTGTGATAAATAAGGAAATTCTTCTGTTAAAGTGTAAGCATCAAAAACATTAATTGTTTTGTGGGAAAACACACAAACATGGGCTTTTACAAAATCCCAGGAAACTTTGCAACAGACTTTCATGAAGCCCTGAGTATTACTTAGTAGAGTTACAAGTGTCTGTGTCATGCCTAGCAAAACCATGTTTCGTTGGTGTGGTGTGTGTGAAGAACTCAGTTTGCCTATTAATCTGCTCCTTTCTTCCTTTTTTCCTTTTATTTGTATATCCTTTAGAACCCCTTCCTGTGAGCAGTGTTTCTATCTATGATTATAAACCATCTCCAGAAACAGGAGTATTGTTTGAAATTCAGTACCCAGAGAAGTACAATGTTTTTACCAGGGTAAATATAAGCTATTGGGAAGGAAAAGACTACCGAACAATGCTGTACAAAGGTAGGAGGAAACTATTCCACTAAAACTTAATGCTCACTCTGCTGGAAACATTTTAAACAGTGGTCTTAGGTGTGATTTTGACATGTGTTAGTTATAATGATTTATATTTGATTTATATTTCTAGTAAAGTGTCTGTTTATATAGTAACTTTTATATCATAAAGTAAGGGATAGGTCTTCAAACAGAGTTGATGGTTCACTTTGGATTTAAACTTACTTCCCATTCTAGTTCTTTCCACCATTTTTTATCTTCCCTGCTGCTGTGCAATCTGAAACAAAGGAAAAGGAAAGAAACCCAAAACCTAGTAGGAAAAGATATGGTTTTGCTTTCTAGATATGCTTGTTGGAATCCCTGGAGGACCTCCTGTGTCACCCAAAAGCATTAGAAACATTTCCAGTCTCTTCCCTCTGATCAAGGTTTCCTCTTTGGCGAATAGCTTCTAGGAGCTGGGAAACCCATTCAATATGTGTGATTCCTGGAGCAGGATTTAAACCTGTGTTAGCTCTGTATCACCATATGGTGACAGAATGCTAATTGTGCCATGTTGTATAGTATTGTATATTACTGTAGCATTCAGTATTGTCCCTGAGATAATAAATTTGGCTGTATATTATAAATTTCAAATTTTTGAAAATAATCTAACCAAAGGCAATCAATCTAATAAACAGTCAGTCAAAACAGTTTAAACAACCAATCTAACCACCTGAACAATCTAGTGAGTAAGTTATGCTTTCTTTTTTATTTACTTATAACTGAAATCCCTTTTGCCCTTTTGTATAGCTTAAGCATAGCATCTATCTCAGAGATAGCAGTGGGACTATGCACCAGAAAGCATCCTAAGATATGAGAAAGGCACCTACATACTCTTCAGGCCCTGAAGCTCCAATGGTTTAATATTGCATAGTGTCTGTAAAATGCCTTTGAGCAATCCGGTAGGCTCTGGATTGAATTTTAGGTGCTGAACTAAGGCTCCCAAAGTAGTAGTCTAGTCACTATAAGCTCTCTCTAAAGTCAGCAGAGGGAGATAACACACCTCCAGAAGGAGGTAAGAATATTTTGGAGTCTATTTGCTTCAATACAGTGTGAGGCTAGAAATTACATTTTCAATGCTGTCAAGTTCCAGAGGTTAGAAAGGGTGATTCTGAATCATAGCACAAAATATAGGTGATGCCTTTCTAGAGAACAAAAAGGATACCAGCAGTAATTTTTTTCTTTTACAGCTAATACATAGTTCCAGGGGCTGTGATACTGCAGCTGCTGCTGCTCATAAATAGAGAAGTCAACCTGAATTAAGAGATTCACTAATCAACTTGCACTCTCTTTCCTGTAACCAAATAGCCTTAAGCAACTTCTCTTCAGGCTGCACATGTACCAATGGTGGATGTGAGCTCCGCTCCCAGTGCCACAGCTTGTGCTAGGTTGCGTGGCGGGTGGTCCTTTGAGCATAAACCCTGAATGTTGTACCTCCATCAGCAAAAGACCAAGGAGGCTTTTGCGTGCAGCAGTTAAAGAAACTGTCAGATGCTCTTCTGAGATATTTGGCATCACGTGGAACAGGTTGCCAATTTCAGTTCCCTTTCCTGTAGAAAGTAGTTCATGTTTCTTATGCTTGGCTTTTTATATATTTTTTTTAGCAAAGTGTCTTTGACAGCCAGGGAAAATGTTGGCAAACAGAATTATTAAAATTCCATGTTTCAGACCAGGCTGAGCAATGTTTAAACATCTGAAACACTGCCAGTTCAGCGTGTGCAGTTGCATTATCAGAAAGTGAATGTTTGATGCACTTTCCTCTTTTTTTTTTTTTTCCGTTTCTTCTTTTTACACCTTCTGCAGATTTCTTTAAAGGTAAAACAGTTTTTAATCACTGGCTGCCAGGTATATGCTACAGTAACATCACATTTCAGTTGGTATCGGAGGCAACCTTCAACAAAAGCACACTAGTGGAATACAGTGGGGTCCAGCATGAGCCCAAACAACACAGAACAGGTGAAGAAAATTATTATGTACCATTTGCTCCAAGTCTGTATGGCTGATTTCCTTTCTGCCCTGGGGAGGGGACTGATCCTGTAGAGAGGAGGGGGCGTGGGGGAGCAGTCCTGGAGGCTGTTCCTGACCAGGAGCATCAGAGGAGAATGCCGTGGCGGGTACTTAGGGTGATGTGTAGAATAGAGTGCAAAGGAAAATTTGCATGAGCGTTTCTGTTGTAAAGCTTGCTTCTTAAGAAATAAATTCTGCATCACATGAGATATCCTAGGCCTTGTGCTAGGAATTAAGTTTTAAGGCACAGGAATAGCCGCAGTAAGTGTACTATTGATCTATCTATATTGGTCTGTCTCTTTGTGCAATGAATCATATATAAACCATTGGAAAAGGCCTTTCTCATTGTGAAGTCTTCTGTCATGGATAAGAACACCATAGTCACCCCACTTGGTGGCTAGTTTATGCCCTGAAGCATGAACTTTTAATTTCCGAGACAGCAATATTGCAAAGGCTGGAAATTGCATTTGTTCAGGATCCAGAACTAATTTAATTTGGTCCTGGGATGGTGCCCAAAATTTTTCTAATAATCTGTTGGACCACAGACATTTTCCAGGGTCCAAAGTGAAATGAACCAGTGGTAAAATCAAAAGGCCAAATCTTCAGATGAATACGCTGATGTTGGTCCATTGCCTTGGACAGAGCAAATCCAACTGATGCCAGCTAAGTTCTCTCCTGAGGATCCTGGATAAAGTTTTCAAGATATTGAAACATAAGAAGGCAAACTAGCAGGGTCACATTTTTGTTTCCTGCTGCCCTCCCATCTTTCATTCTTCACATGGACTGCAACAAGATTGTAGTGACTGGTTTTGTATTAGTGGCTGTGGCTGGGATGGGAGAGGTGTATTGTAAGTTCTCAGCTTGAAAGGTGCCAGTCAAAATTGTTTGCAGAGGCTCCTTGCACTTATCATGTATAAAGCCAGACAGACAAGCAATTACAGTAAGGCAGACAAAAAGCTATGTGCTCACCTCATGGCATAAGCTGAAGTAACTTCTTTGCGTGCTGAAGTCCTGTCTTCTGGAGCCCCATATCTTAAGATCAAGCTTTCACTAATACTAAAATTTAAACTGACATTTAATGCTTCTGAAAAGGTGGCTGCTAAAAGCACATGAAAAGCCCCATAGCAATGTGAAGGTCATACTTTTTAAGTTTGAGGTATGCCATATATTAGTTTTGCATATGTTTTTCAATTCATTTCTACAGAAGTCTTTTATTCCATGATCAAGTTCTTTCTGGAAGACACAGTAAAACAAATGAAGGTCCAGTCTTACAAATTCACCCTCAAGTAGCCTTGCAGCTGTAACAGCACTGAAGTCTGATTTACTGTGACTTCATTTTAACTTTTCTTACTGGTATTCCTGAATTGTGTTTCTTTTGAGAATTTACACTCATCTTGATTCCACTAGAATCACTTCCACTATAAGTATATGTAAGGGAAGGGAGAATCTTCATAAGAAGAGGTTATTTCAGAATTTCTCTCGATGCATTGTTTTTCTGCAAACAATATTTCTCTGGGGAATTAACACATTGCAAAGCTGCACGGAACATGCCTATTAAAAGACTAACCCTTACTTCTCTTCTAGTTCCTTACCCACCTAGAAACATTTCTGTTCAGATTGTACCAATCAACAGAAACAATTGGGAAGAGCACAGCGGGAATTTCGCAGAAGAATCATTCATGGCACCACAAGAAATCATAAGGAAAAAAAAACTTAGCCATTTTCCTGACAATACACCTGAAATTCCAGCAGCGAACACATCTGCAGCTTGGCCAGAGTACCGCTATAACAGCACTGAGTATGAAACCACATCACAGCCATACTGGTGGTCTAACGAAGCAGAGTCATCAGAGGGTGAAGAGGAGTTTGTCAATGCAGTTTCCAGTGATTACGAGGCCAATGACGTCAATACATCTGGAAAGTTCACACCAGAGCCCCCTTCCTTCCTTCCTGTCCAAATGGTGCTGACCTGGTTACCACCAAAGCCACCTACTGCGTTTGATGGTTTCCATATCAATATTGAAAGGGAAGGTAAACCAGAGCCTTATTTGTACCTCTTTTCTGTAATTCCATCTGTGCGTTTTCTGCTCTATGAATTACTAATTACCTAGTACTGTGCTTCAGAGGGCTTTGTTAGATGAAAGCTGGCGAAGGGCTTTTTACAGGGGCCTGTAGTGATAGGACAAGGCGCAATGACCTGAAACTGCAAGAGGGTAGATTTAGATTAGATATAAGGAAGAAATTTTTCACCATGAGAGTGGTGAAGCACTGGAACAGATTGCCCAGAGAGGTTGTAGATGCCCCATCCCTGGAAGTGTTCAAGGCTAGGTTGGATGGGGCTTTGAGCAACCTAGTCCAGTGGGAGAGAGGTGTCCCTGCCCACAGCAGAGGGGTTGGAAATAGATGATCTTCAAGGTTCCTTCCAACCTTAAATATCCTATGCTTCTATGATTGATTCTGTGATCTCCTGTACTTCTGGAGAAGTTTCTTGCCTTGAATAGCAACTAGTTCTGGCTGGACATCATAAAAGTGTGGGAGGAGAGGTATATCATAGTTTCTCTTTTGTTAAACAAAATTTATACTGATGTACATACTACTGCACTGTTTACACAGCAGTTATGGTAAAAGCATTCCGGTATTAGAGAAAAGAGAATCAAGCTGATAGAAATTTCAGACGATGAAGGTACGTTGTGCCATGTAGGTTTGTCTGCCACTGAGAAAGGTTCTCAGGAGGACCTTGACTGCAAGGAATATAGAGAAAAGATAGTCTAAATTCAGATTAACATTTGTCTCAGAGGACATACTAAACATATTCCATAGGCCATAAGGAAGCTGCGGTGGAGAACGGGAAGAGTTTTCAAGTGATGGAGCTACAAGAAAATTGCCATATTGCTTAAAGATTTTATCTTTTAAAATCTTTATGCAAGTCAATTTTATTTCCTGACAAGCAGTTTTCATAAACCTTCCCACACTGAGGGCAAAAACTTTTTTTCTTTTTTGTTGAATAAGAATGCAGAAGATAGAATATTGGAACACTTTTCTTCCATGCTATGCTGTTTTTCACTTGCACAGTCATGGCAACCCTATTTTATCATCCCTTCTATGGAATGAAAATTTGGCCTGGGTTTATTGTTCTCCACACCTATAATGCAACCTTGGTCATTAATTACTGTTGTGCTGATGACAAGAAATAAAACTACCCACATAAATCCAGTCCTTTTGGATACCTTTTAATCCCACAGCAGAAATAGTATTAGCATTTCTGATATTAATCATTTTCTTACTGGCTGGAGCCCTTCAAATTTCAATTAATCCACCCTTCTTTTTCCCGTCTGATTTAGAGAACTCCACGGAATTTTTGACAGTAAGTGAGGACATTCACAAATTTGTAGCTGAACTGAAAGAACCAGGAAAATATAAGTTGTCTGTAACAACATTTAGCTCGTCTGGCTCTTGTGAAGTTCGGGGAAGTCAACCAGCAAAGACTCTTAGCTTTTACATCAGTAAGTATCCCAACAAATCGGTCTTTTTCTCACAGACCAATATAACTTTAACGTACAGAGTTTGACGACTGCGGCATCTGCTGCATGATCAGAAGAGTCTGGTCTTCCGGAATTCCCAGTGCTCGAGAAGGAAAGATAGAAAAATGCTACATATTATACCCTGCTTGGATGGGCCTTCATTGTGCCATCTTGGCAGAGCTCAGAACTGAAAGCGTAGAGTCATTGATAGAGTCATTGCCCAGCATTCAGAAGTTCCCCTCTCACATCTTTCAAGGAGAGAGGATATAATTCCAATAATTAAATGGGTAGTTATAGAGATTCTTGAAAATACTTAACTTCCTTACTCCTGGAGGCTCTATGTGCCGGGTTAGGGATAAAGGGCATCTTGGGCTGAGAATCTGGGAATTGCACAATGAAACACTGAACTCTGAAATTACATGATCTTTGAGAGAACATGAGGCAAATTACATTAAATTAAATAGTTCAGCTTGCTAAATTCAGAGGAGAAGTAGTAATTTATTATTTCCCTGTAGAATCCCAGTGTTTCTTAACTGAAGATTTAGTAAAAGACAAAGTAATCACTGTGTAAACTAATACTATGACTTAGGATTAAATCAGCAAATGAGATGGGTGTTGGCAAATTCAAATTATTATCCTTCTAATGTTTGTAGTCACCTTTGTACCTTTTTCTACAAAAAGAAACAGATAATGCCCATAGAATGAGATTATTTTACATGTTGGAGGAGAGTGCCTCCCCTGAATTGTGAATGCTGCAACAAGACATGGTAGCTAGGGCTGGCAGAAATATTTATATTAAAGGGAAATGTGCTAAATTACTTACGTACATTACTAAAAAAAAATGTGGCTTCAGTAGCTCACAACTTTTACAAATACTAGCTATTTAGGCTTAAATTCACCTTTATGCTTAACTGCATGTATCAGAATTCCACTATTGTTCCTATGTTTTCCACAACTTTATAGTTGAAAGAAACAATACTTGGAAAACAAAGAGAAAAGAGGAAACAATGTACAAAAGCAAGAGTGTCTGGTGGTGTAATTTCACTGTCTTCTAGTTTTCTTTAGGAATAGTTGTTAGAGAGCTTCATTATAGGCAAAGCATTAAAATATATGTAGGTATTTAAGTATATCAAAAAACTACGTAGCATTGCTACTAGTAACAAATGTTATTCCATTTTACAAGGTGTGACTTATTTCCATTAAGCACTGTGCAATACAGGGTCCTCCATAAAGTCTGCTCATTGGGGATAAAGACCTAAGAGAAATGAGAATAATCCAAATACAGGTGTATGGATTGCTAGGCTAAGGATGGACCTGAATCTCGTTGTGTATAATGTCTTAAGATGTTAAAGGAATATAATGAATATATTCATTTTACATGTAATGCATGAGAACATTTGGTTTTGGGTGGGTTTGGTCTGTTAGTTTTGTAGGCTTTTAGAACAAGCAGTTATCTTACTTAGTCTGTCAAACACGAGATCCTTAATATTTTAGTTAGATTTTATATGTATTTCTGGTAGTATGCCAAATGTGAGATGTGCACAGGAACTCTTAAGGTGAAATTGCTTTTCCATTCCCCTTTATGAGTCTGATTAAGTAGGCTTTTGTGTGGGGACTAGAACTTTGGGCCGTGACATGAGATAGTTTAGTTCCCTTAAAGTGAATGCTGAAGCAATTTCTGAATAGTAAGAGCTACACATACGTCCACTGCCTCCGAAGACTAATCTAATGATCAAATTCCTATTTGTTCCTGAGTAGGTGTGGGTCTGCTGTCATGAATAAATTTTGCTTCAGCCTTATCTTATCCTTGTAGCACTCAGTCAGTGAATCATCCTGTCAAATTACTGGCTTGCATTACACAACATTTTTGTTGCACCCAGAGAGCAGTATGGATGGTCTAATTTTATAGGCTGATCTTACATCAGATTCATTTTATTTTCTTTAAGAATGTAAAGTACCATTAGAATTGCATGGAGGAAGGAATGTTAAGGAAAGAGCTGTCACAAGCATTACTTAAAAGTGACAAGAAAAGCTGATGATTTTCATGAAATCTGAAATTTTGACCAAGTCTGGCTGAAGTTATTTTCCAAATTGTTATTTTTATCTATGTTTAAACCTGTGTCCTCTACCAAGTGCTTCAAAAAGTCCGATGGAGAATGAGATTCTTCACTGTGGTAACCTCTATGAATTTGATTTTCACACTTCAAGGATGTAGTACACTTGAAGGATATGTGGAGAGTATGTGGAGAGGTAAAAGATTTTATGTGCTTATCCTTTAATGTTTGCCAATCTGTACATTATTGGATAACACTGTTTTTAAACATTCCCTTGGAGCAAATCTGATAGTGCTGGGTGTTTTCTGGCAAGCAACAGAGAATACTGCCATCTGAATTTTCAAACAGTGATATTTCTCTTGTCATCTGCTCCACTACAGGTAAAATATCACCAGCCGCAGGCTGTTTTCCGGGGACTACCATCTTCACTGCCCAAAGGCTGTGGAGATGGACACCTGTCATTCCAGCCTCTTTCACTAGTAATAAATAATTGCCTGAAAGGAAAGTGTTTTAACATATGTGCCTCAAATGCATCGAGTGGCTTGCTCACCTGTGCTTTTGGGATATGTTCCAGGCCCAACAGGTGAATGGATAGAAGAGCTCACTGAAAAGCCCCAGCATGTGACTGTGACAGTCCTAAGCTCCACTACTGCCCTGACGTCCTGGACAGCGTCACAAGAGAGCGGCAGCAATAGCACCATCGTGTCTGTGGTGTCCCTGACCTGTCAGAAGCAAAAGGAAAGTCAAAGACTTGAAAAAAACTACTGCACTGAGGTAAGGGTCAGAAGCTGGAGCCTTTTCAAATACAGGAGAACATTACTCATCATCCTCCTGTTGGGGATCGTTGTGCCCAAGGGCGTGATCAGGCTCCAGGCTGCAGAGCACAACAGTAGGTGCACCCTCGTGTAGTCTAGAGACCAGACTGATGCAGAGCAGAGAGGAGAGCAGAGCGTTCAGGAATGAAAATGTGTAGTAAACCACAGTAGTGTTAAAATTGTATTTAAGTTGGACTGCCAGTGGTCAATCCTTTGTTCAGTCTTGTGAGTTATGTTGTACTCTTTGAGACATTTTTGTGGCAGTAGGCACAATGGTGCCATATTGTAACAATGCTTAGGCTTGTGCTATGATCCATTTGTATTAAGGAGAGAGCTCACATGCATGGTTATCATCAAACTAGCATAAATTCTGTCTTAGATATCCTACACAGGAATACAAAACCTGACTCTCAACTTTCTGGAAGTTCAGACATGATCAGAAGTCAAGTTTTCTTTTAATCCGTAAGAAAATGTGTTGGCACTGTAAGTAAATAATAATTCAGGCCACCTGAATTTGGATGGACAACACTTCTTTAAGGTTTCTACGTGAGACGTATTTATAACAATCAAGAATCCTGAACCCCAAAATATGGCAGTTTCTGTTACTTGAAATCCTTCGTGAGCGCAACCTCATGTCAGATCATGTGGCTATGATGGATTGGTGACAAGTGGCTTCACTTACAAAGAAGTTTTAGCCCACATCTCGGTTACTTTACCAAGATGCTAAAAAAGCCATTTTCTGAGCAGAGCCTCAACTTCTGTCTGGATCCCCAAATGTGTGTGATGGAGGAGTCTGCAAAGGACTGCAGTGCAGCCCGGCTGCACCCTCAGCCCACAGGAGACCGCTAGCACTCACACTAAATCTTCATCTCTTTCAACTTTGTGATTAGCCCTGCAAGTTGATTAATGCAGAGAGTCTGCATCCTTTAAAAAATGTATTTTTAAATTATTTTTTGTAAAATGCTTTGAGTTTTATTCCAAGAATGGCTGTGAACTTAAATGTGTGGAAGTGCCTTTTCATGACAATTTGAGAATTGTTTTTCATAATCAACTTGTAATCTCGTTGAGTTATTCTCCTTCCATCTATTAAAAGGGCAGCCATTTGATCATGAAGGAAAACAATAGAGTAGGTGATTATAAACTACAGATCACAAGTATATACATCAATGATTAAAGTAAATACTATAGGATTTATCTACAAACTCAAAACCAAGTACCTAAACTTAATGCGTCAATAAACAAGATATCTGCAAAGGCAAATGCATGTTTGTTGCATGTAGGTAGAATGGTCTACAGTTATTTGTTTCTTTCTGTCATTACAAATATTCATACCACCTCTAATCAAATTTTATCAGATTATATGGGGAATAATTAACGGCTCTTGGTTTGAGTTCTCCTTGACAAGCTGAAAAGGGTAAAATTCATTGCAGAGTTCTATCCTTCTCTAATGTTGTTCATGACTTGAAAGTGTTTTAGCTGTCCAAAGCAACTGTTAAATTCTGTTCCCCACTAAATCTGTGCTGGCAATGATACATTTATGTCCATTGTAGTAAACCACCAGTGCAAAAGTGGCTGTGATACAGACTTTGGAAAGGTTGCAAAGAAAGTGTTAGTAAGAAATACCAGCCTGGAGTTCTAGAAGGGGTCCTTTCCTCAGAGCCGCTCTGTGCATTTGCTGTTAGCTGGCTCTTCAGGAGATGAGACTTTTCTACACAGTATCAGGCTAGAGGGCTGGGTGGGGAGAAATCTTATGAAGTTCAACAAGGGCAAGTGTAGAATTTTGCATCTGGGAGAGAATAACCCCATGTGCCAGTATAGGTTGGGGACTGACCTGCTGGAGAGCAGCGTAGGGGAAAGGGACCTGGGGGTGCTAGTAGACAGCAGGATGCCCATGAGCCAGCAATGTGCCCTCGTGGCCAAGAAGGCCAATGGCATC